CTTTAGAGGTGCTTTTACGCAAGCAAGACGAGTGTTTGTCCTGTTTGCACTGAGCTAAGCTCACTGGTTCCAGCCACACATCTACAAACATGTGTGCTATCAACCTTCTCTTCTCCGTCTCTACAAGAAAACATGTTTCCCAGAATACCATTTAGCAATTAGTCAGTTATTGTTGCTTGTTAACTTTCTGTTAACGAATCATTTCTGCACTGACATTAATCTAAATTGCATCATTAACATTCCACTCAATAAAATACTTTTTATCGGTCGTCTTGCATCCAGTCGTGCCTGTTTGTGACATTAGCAGAGAGGTGAAGATGTGAGAAATAAAAAATTAGAGTGTGACTTCTGTGTTTGTGCTCGGCAGCGACCAGAAATGAAGACAAAACATGTGGGCTGCTGGGAAGATGGGAAGCCGGTGACTCACCTTCGACTGAAGGCAGCTGCCATTTTTTTTTTCCAATCTTGTTCGCCCGTCTGGTTGTGACATCAGCCCATGTCATACCAAGATAATAATGAAAGACAGGCAGAGCTACAAGGCCTTCTCATTACTCCCCAGAGCTACAAATAGATCCTTGACCATGTTCGGAACTGAATGTTGGAACATTTTTTGTGTGATTGAGAATGGCGCTGTGCTGTCTCATGGCCTGAAGGTAAGGAATACGGATCAAGGTAACAACATAGGATAAAGAAATATCCACAGGAGGACACCTCAGTTATAAGGCAGCAGAACCTTTTACCACATCAATAAAATGTACTTAACATGCATTTAGGATGATTAATGGGTCGTTGGAAAAGGGAAAATTCAATCGGGGTGGAGAAATAAGCTTTTCTCTTCATCCTCAAAAGCCCCTTAAATAGCCCCGGATCTAATGATACCAAGACTGAAGCTACGAATGTCCATTAAAAAACATTTTGTCTGATTAATTGATATATTGTTTGGTCTATGCTCATTCTTTCGATTTAAATTAATGCAACATAGATAAAAAAATGGATGCATGGATTAAGCAGTTTAAATTAAAACTGATGTAGGTTAAGTCATTTTTATTGGTCAAACACATGTATAACTTCCCTAAACATTGCTGCAGACCAAGCACAAACTTAACAGCCACGGCCTCCAGCCAGGACACCGCGTCCCACCGCAGAACAAAAACTGCTCAGGAATGGCTTAAGGAAAACGACAAAGAGCTCAAAGCACTTCTCCTGCATTCATGGGATTTACTGGAACAAGATGGATCAGGACCCAAAGGATCCACTGCTGATGTCTCCCACATCCATGCTCCGGGGCTTCAGAGCAGCTTGTTGTGGTTGGTCGGTGTGGCTACCAGTGTCCAGCAGGTGCCTTTACAAAAGGATTCCTGCACACACACAATCTACTCTCGACAATACATTTTGCTTATAGGTGAATGAATCTTCTCGACAGCGGTATAATAACTGAACATTAGCATCCAGCGCAGAGGAATTAGAGGAAAATAGAAGAAATACTTTAGGCTTTTGTAAATTAAATGAAAAAGACTTTGTGTTACAAGGCTTTTTAGAATGAAATTCAAATAAATGTTTTGTCAAACATTTTCAAGGCCTGCAGATACAGTTCCCTGATAAAATATTAGAAAATAGTGAGAAAAAAAAATAAAAGTGCTTCTAAATTTCCAGAAGCCCAAGGTGGTTTCTTAAAATGCCTCATTTTGTTACACTAACAGCACAAAAGACCCAAATATAGTCAGTTCAAGAGACTATAAAACCAGGAAACGCCGGATATTTAAGTCGGAATGAGGAGGAAGTTTACTGTGAATTATCAAAATGATCACATTTGTATTAACAGAATGATCTCTTCTTTCCAAATCTGTCTTTACATTAATGCCAGAAACAAAAAAGGGCTTTAAAAGTTCATTCTTGATTTTGGAAATAGTACTTTGTTTGATGAGCAAATGGAGTCTTCTCAGCTGTAATGGCTCAGTGAAGGTGGAAGACCATGAGATGTAGCTCACGGCTAATAAGTTAATAAGTGGACCTTGAGTTTAAAAAGTTCCAAATCTAGAAAACGGCCAACAGAATTACCACATATTAAGCTACTCATGCAAGTCAATACATTAAATGGAAAATATAAAAAGTCTTTTTCTCACAATCTTCCTCTGACGTTTGGTCGTCATGGTGAATGGAGTTGTAGATTAAAAGTTTATCTACATGATGCTTGTGCTCAGATTTCTTCTTCATTCGCCTGCAGACTTCCTCCAGATGTTTCAGCGCTCCTTCAGTTGTTACCCTGAAGCCAAAGTCTATCCAGTTGCAAAGAACTGTGGCTGTTTGTGTGTTTTCTAGGATGTATTTCATTAATATTGAGTAAATATCTAAAACTCTCGATTTAAATTATGCGAAACGATCTTGTCTTTGATCTGCCTCGATAAGTTTAAGCTGATTTCTGTTTTTGTTTATAACACAGCTTTGAGGATCCATTCTTTCCACTGAAATTTTAGGAAAGGTAAAGTCCTTCTCTAGCTCTTGACGTAACCCCCAAAAGCAAGTCAGCACATTTAATTCCATTTATACAAGTTTATTTTGGCGCGTTCTCACAATATTCCTCTGAAGTAGTTTGGCAGTCAGTGGATTTGTACATTTAAAAGGCGTTTTTTTTTTTTTAACAACGGTTTCCTACTATTAGAAATTAAAAGTATACCTACATGAAGCATACTTCTTCTTCCATAATGCTTGTGCTCAGATTTCTTGTTTATTTGCTTGGAAAATTCCTCCAGATGTTACAGCTCGCCTTCAAGCTACAGTTGTTGCCCCGAGGCCAGAGTCTATCCAGCTGCAAGGCATTGTGGTTGTTGTAGGATTTCATACTTTAACACCGCAGTTTGTTCATACAAAGTTATTTCCTAAAACTCTCAGTATGAATCCTGCCTACAGATCCTGTATTTCTAGGTGAGTTTAAGCTGATTCCTCCTTTTGTTTAAAATACTTTGAGAAACTGATTGTGCAGTAGCGTGTGCTGTTGGTTGTATCAGAAGTATTGGTTTTCATGACGTCCACTGAAATTTTATGAAAGGTCACTTTAAAGTCCCTCTCTTCACTGACGTAACCCCTAAAAACTCACCTTTGTCTATCGGTTTGCCATTACAATAACCCCTTGCTACCATAAAACACTTGGATGTGAGTGTTTCCCAATAGAATACGCACATCTGGTCACCTCTCTCTACAACAAAGCCCCACCCTGTAAGCTGACAGGATTGGTTCCTGAGGTTTATTATATATGAAATCCCAGAAGTCTGAAAATTTTTCCAGACTGCTCTCCATACACGGATATTTGAACATGTCCAGCCATGGCGGTGACTACTTGTTTCATGTCTTCTAGCATATAAAATACAGCATACGGACATGTTAACAAGGTAAAATGCTCGATTTTCACCAGAGGGGGTCTTTACAGACGTCTTATTTGACTGAGAAGTTCACTCTTGACCTTGAAAAACAGCAGCTGTGCTGCTACAAAGTTACCAAAAATGTCTCAAAGGTCAGAAAAGAACTTTAAATCTTATTAATATTTATCATGAGATCTAACATATCAAAACTCTTCCCTGTGCTTACGAATTCTCATTTAAATTCTCTTTGCTTTTTGAGTTTATACTTGGTGTAAAATTGACTTTGAATAAATGAATGAATTTCAAATAATGCAATCTGGACAGAGGAGAGAAAGCTGTTCATACTTATTACCGAGCTGCAACCATCATCGGATGCAAGATTTTGCTCCTCATGTTTATTTTTGTCTTTTCACTCGGAGTTGCAGAAAAAGCTAAATCTAAATTAGTAGTAAGAACAATAAGCAAGCACCGCCGAGCATGATTTATGCCACAGTTGCAGATGTTGCAGATGAGAATGAAAATCTGTGACTGCTAAAATTACTATTATCATTCCTGCGAATGATTGACGTAACAAAGGCTCGCTGACAGGCGAGCAGCTGGAAATCCAGAGTTTCCATGGAAATTGGACAACCTGTCAGGCACACACTGTCTCCAAACGGCGCCCGTGTGTGTGTGTTTGTGCGTAAATCATTAAATTTTGCAGGCTGCCACATGGGGCTCATGTCGGCGCCGTTCCACTTCTAAGGACAACAAGCATATGTGTGCGCGCTTACGGGTGAACGCTAACGCCGCTCGCTGTTTGAGCAACCTGTGTGACATGTGCACAGCATCCTCCTCGACTCCTCAGCCTCCAATCCGTCTGCCTCTTTAGAGAAGGCTGCTCTAATATTGTCCTGTCACTGGTTTCTCGCCACCGAGTCAGGTGTGAGAGACTGATCTTCATTAGCATAAGGAAACCATAGTGACAGCAGAGTCGAGGGCCACGATGAAGAGGCAGAGGATATTCAATTCTGTCTGAGTTGTAAAGTAGGGACGAGGGGCAAACAGGATGTGGAGTCCAGTTGTAAGCGGGTTTAAGATCAAACAATTCCATCGGAGGTACTTTTATTTTTACTGCCTCTGCTGCCAGCCTGGTAAACACTGACTGAACATGGAGACTTGGATGTGGTGGCTGCGACGTCGCTTGAAATACAACACTGTAAAAGAAAGAAAACCGCATTAAAAAAAAAAACCTTGCTGGAGTTTTTGAAACACTTCCAGGTAGAAAACAACAGAGCAGGGGTGTAAGTCAACGCAAGCAGCACCGATTTCAAGCGTGCCTTTGTGGTATAAATAAGCTTAGAATATCAGCTCTGGCAGCCATACCTTCAAAAGGTACAGAGGCAAGTCTGGTGTCTTTAAATAATGTTTCTCTACAACACTGTTTAGGAGTAATTAAGCAATGTTTTCAAAGAAAGAGCAACCAATCAGGCAGTTACATTTTGTTGTGATTCAGTGTTTCATGTTTAATCAGCGCATCAGAAACGTCCAGGAAATAAAATGTGCTCTCGTGCAGGAGCAATAAGATCACAGGAAATAAGAAACCGGGAGGGGGGGTGGTGGAAAGGGAAGAAGAAGAAATAAGTGTTGCATAAATAATGTATAAGAAAAGGTACAACGCGGTAGTGGCTGACGCAGCAGCTGCCTCCCGATACATACGGTTTCATTTCTAACTCCATCCATTTTCCACTTCAGCCGCGAGGGAGAGTGGCAGCGGGCAGCCGATGGGCGGGTCCTCATGCCAAAGGAGCAAAGATAAATTACAGCTGGTTCAATCCATATGCTTTGAGCATCAGTCACCCCCCCCATCCTCCAACAATGAGCCTAATGCAGAGTGGTTACACAAGGAGAGAATGGTGAAAAAAAAAGAATGAGATGGAAGCAAACACGTCCCAGCGTAGAGGAGAATCATTTGGGACGGCCGACGGCTTACTAGGTTATCACTCACTTATCGCTGCTGTAGCACGAGACGCAGAAATGGCCGGGGAAATAGCTGTCCATCACCCCGAATACAATCAGCCGAGTACATGGCTGGGGAGCTAATGGATGTTTCCACAGGGAGGGCAATTTAGTGAATGGGAAAGTGGATGGGTCCATCATGCAAGATGGGATTATGTGTGATTGTTATCCTTCACAAGTGTGATATGACGGTCAAGGGGTGTAATGTATATGGACAGGGGAGACATTAAATAGTAATCTCTCCACAGCCCACTCACAGCCAATCAGCCTGCCCTCGTCCCACGTTTTCTTTTTTCTGACTGAGCAGACGTTCTGAGTAGCACTTAAACAAAACGGCTGCTGCTGCTGCTGCCGCTGCTGCTACTGCTGCTGAAATATGCAGAGCAGCACGCTCTCAAAAATAAATTAAATTCTTATCTGCACACTCAGTTCAGTGCATTTTTAACCAAATCAACGCAATTGTGGAATGGCTTGACAAAACACAAGGTTCGGCACACGAGGAAACAAATATGTTGAGGTCGGTTCACATAAAATTGTTGTAAAATGGCTGCAAGACGCACACGTGTCCCTTCACATAAATAGTACATACATGTATCAACAATCATCCCAAAGTTAAAAAACAAGAAAAGAAAAAAAGGCACCAAGAGTATGACGCAGTTTTTTTGCCAAGCAGGTGCTGTGGTGCCTTATATCTTCTTTCCATTTCCAGACACACAAACTTCCCCTGCCCCCTAATATCCCTTCAGTAAAGACTCCCGGTTTTGCAGCTTTACGCTCTCAGATATCCAGCGGTGCAAACGCAGAGGCCTCAGAAGATGTGTTTGAGATGCTTGACGCCGTACGTCTTGAAAAACACCAGGAGGATTAGAGTCCACAGGCCCAGGATGAAGCCATCAGGAGGATGCCAGTCTTTCTGCTTTGGTTTCTGGAAGGGAGGAGGAGGAGGAGGGTGAGGCGGTGGGGGAGGGAGGGAGAGGGGGGAAAGCAGAGGGGAGCAGGGTAAGATTGCAGGTTAGTAATAGTGTGTATATTTCTCCTGTTGAGGCCACCGCTGATTGTTCTGTCATTCACACAGGCAGGCAGGCGCAGAATCGCGCACACACACACACACACACACACACACACACACACACACAGTCGCTTTATCGCTTCGCACACTTTATGTACACTATCTGCTGTCTCACATACACAAACACAAAAGGTTCACACAAAAAAGCGGGTGGTAAAGCTCATCAGTACACCTCCCCTGTCTTGTGTTTGTCCCATTCACTGCCACATCATCACTTTGTGTATGATTATACTTTTAAATCTCGCTCGTATTAAACATGCATCTCACAAGGAGCACATTTATATGCTAATGTGGCTGCAATATTCTGCAGAGAGATGAGATTTAACCTCTAAAAAATCTTCCTAACTCCTCTACTGGCGACAAAGCTATAGATAGGCTGTGAGGATGCACTTAAGAGATTTCTGTTATCCTTCGCTATACAAGCCGCCATTATCCTGTCGGGAAATCACCAGTCAGACAAGGCATCCCCCCCCAAAGCCAAAAACCTCGAGACTTGGCAAAGAGGATGAGCGGCACAGCGAGTGCTCCAAGTCTGGTGGAGTCGCAAACTGTACACACAGCAGCAGCAGGATGGCATATAGTACTGCAAAGCTGCTACACGAGTACTTAGAAAATCCCTGTCTGTGTAGTTTGCCTCAGTGCTGCTATAGTACCCCGTGTACATTTACTCCTCATGAAGCACATCCATATCGGGTTGGCACACACACTCAGCTGCACACTGCAGCAGAGGCTGGAGTCGGGCTGTCAGCAGACTGACAGGCCCTGGAGGATTAAACACTGGTGTGAAAGCCCAATCCACAGTCATTATTACCCACAACCTCACAGCCAGAGCTCGGCCAGAAGACGAGCTCTATCTGCAATAGGAATCAAATAAACCCAATAATAATCAATAATTCTGCAGCTCTATGCAGCACTTTTCTGCATTTTGGTTTTTACATATTTACACTGTGGTTAACTCTGAGTCGCTCTCATCTGCTCAGTTGTAAAAAGCAGTTTGAATTCACCCAACACCACCTGCACAGCGGCAAACAACAGAGAGACAAAATTAGCAACGAAACGGTGACAGGAGTCCAACATCTAGAGAGCGTTTCATTGACGACCAAACGGACGGCGCATGTGGCAGAAACAGGTTTCACTGTGCAGCTTCCAGCAAAACGCAGCTGGAGCAGGAGTTTCTCAGCTCGAGGAAAACTAAATTCTAGAAAAGTAAAAGTCATTTTCTAACTGATTTGAAATCCATGTTCAACCAGATATCCAATGATAACTGTACACCTGGTTCAGGCTGAATATATGTGTGTGTGCCTCATGTGTTTGTCCACCTCGACTCTGGTGACGGCACACCGGCGCTGAAACAAAAGTCTGTTTGCACAATAAAAGGCTGTGAATTAAGAGGCGCGCTCCATCCCTCTCCTTTTATTCAGGATAGTGAATAAATTTGTCCTCTTTTGACTTTGAACAGAGAGTTTCCACTTTAAATTAGGATTTACCCAATACTAGACCGTTCCATTCAAGTTATTGTGTCGTTACCTGAATTTAGTCAACATTTAGCTTGCCGTGGCTTCGGAAAAAAACATGTTATTTTTTAAAGAAGGACATCAAAACATAAAGCCGGGAGACAAATGAATAGAAAAACCAACATCAAGTGTCCTCGTAGGATGTTAGGCCACCATGTGCAGCCTCACTGCTCCTCTCCATTGACTCTCTGAGCTCTACAGGAGGGACGAACACCATTCTTTCAAAAGATTTAGTGTTGTGCTGAATAACTGTTAGGCTGAGATCTGGTGACTGAAGGTCAAAATCACATGATTCACATCATTTTAATCAAACCAGTCGGTGCTCTGTGGACGGACGTCATCCTGGGAGAGACCACAACCACCAGGAGAGAAATGTTTCGTCATAGGACAAATCTGATCATTCAGAACAACTTTGTATTGATTTGAAATGACCCTTCCCTCTCAGAGGATAAGTGGATTCAAATTATTCTAGTAAAATGCTTCCCACAGCTTAACAGATGATCTGTTTGTAGGGTTCAACAGTACAGGTGTTTTCTTTTAATTTGTCCGCATACCGCCAACACACTTGGACAATTTCCTAAAATATCCAACCCTAAATGACATCCACCTGATGGCAGCAAGGGGAACAAAAAGAACATCAGAGGTCCTTTACACAGCAGTGCAACTGCAATAGTACAGCAAGCTCCTTCACTTGTGAACTATAATGTTGTCTGTTGGGAGGCAGAAGACAGACTGCTCTGTTAGAAGGTCGACTCCGTCCACTCCTATACAACTAAACTGCATTCTCATTCACGTTTTGGGGAAAACGTATTTTCTGCCGGATTATGATGTTTTTGACTCATTGCAAATACATTTCCAATCAACATATGTTTGCCATTTGTTTTATTGCTCTATTGTCGCTGGTTTTCAACCAACCAAACTTCGATTAGATGACGTGGGCATAATCCCTCTGGTAACCCGCGGAGGCTAAGTTTCAAATATGTTGCGTTGTGGTCGTATTTTATTTCAAATATGTCACATGTAGTTTTTGTGCCTAAACTTAAGCAAGCTTCTAAAACCAATTCTTTTTTTTTTGGTGAAACTGTCAACCAAAGTGTGACATCTTCCTTACCCTAGCCACTTGGTTGTGTCAGTAAAACAGTGAAAGAAAACCGAAAGGAAGCAAAAGTGTAAACGAAACTTAAGTCTGAGAATATCAGTGATACATTAGATGCACACCTTTGTCTGATGGCTCAAAGCAATGCTGCTGACTTCTGTCGCCATCCTCCCTTTCTACCTTTAAACCTTGTGGCTCCTTCGAACTGGAAGTAGTTGCACCTTCATCACCGCTTTACCCTTGGCTAATAAAATCCATTAATTGATTGTAAACATGCTGTGTAACTGTACAGGAGCATAATCTCTGGGAAACAGGGTTGAGAATTTGCTAACTTTTGCAAACACGTTAGTCATCGCTCCTTTACGGACCACAGATATCTGCATCTGCTCACTAACTTCAGAGCTTTCCTGCTCCGTGCCAACAATAAAACATAATGAAAACAGCTTTTGAGACCCTATTATCGCCAAGCTCCCCATTTTTCCACAAGGTATGCGGGATAATGGTTTAATCGCAAACCCGATCTTGATGATGGACTGGTGGCATTTCAGCTTTTAAAGTGTTCAATTGTCTCGCAATTACACTCTAACAGGCGTCTCATATTTTGCTGATTTTCCCTTTATATAAAAGGCGAGAAGCGCTGAATTGGCGTACGTAGAGTGGAATCCTCTGCTGTATTTGTGTGAGTACACATAAATGAGAGGCTGACACAGAGTACTGTGGCGTGTGTTGAATATGTGCAGTATCTGAAATTACCACCCACTAAGCACCAAATGCCAGTAAAATCTGTCTTTGGCAGCTAAAATCTCAAACACTGGTGTTGACTGTAACATTTGAACACCCCTCATATTGCAATATCAGCATTATAATAAAGGCTCTCTGTTCATGTGCCAGTCGAATCAAAGCTGAAACAGGCCGACTGTAAAGCTCCCGCTACACAACGTGGCCTTATCGCGGCTCGAGGAGAAGAGGTGATGATGAACTTGACCCACTGGATAATAAGGTGCATTAACAAAAAAATCACACTGCACCTGATCCTATTCATGAAACAGCATTCAGAATGGGCATGATTACATGGTTCTTAGAATAATGAATATTAATTGCTTTGCCTGGTGAAAATTGTTCTAATTTCTTATTAGTTTAACAGCTCTTGGTAAGTGAGGCGAAAAGTTAATTTCAGGAAATGTATGTGCGTGTGGCTGAGTGCTCGTGACTCCGTGCAACCTCCCCCTGCGCGGCGCACTGTCTTCTCAAGGCTGTCGCTTCAATCCAAACTCCACATTACGTGACGGCGCTGCCAATTTCTAATGTAGAAAGACCGAGGACAGCAGTAAAATTGGATTACGTCTGACTCCAAATTTATTTAACAGCTCAATCAAGTCAAATCAATAGAGCTCCGCTGCCATCCAGAATGCTAAAGCAGGGACAGCGAAGCTTTGCAGCCCACGTCAGACCTGAGCTCCGGGGTAGTCAGGGCTGCAGGTCCAAGGCAAAGAGCTGCTTATTTAAAGCAGCAGTCACATGGCAGATATTAGCTACGGCATTCTGCTTATATTCAATTTTCCTGCCTGGCAATAACCACAGAGGGCAAATGGATTCAGAGTTTCCATGGACACCAGCATCACGGTTCTGTTTGGGTTTTTGTCATCGTGAAACATGCATCTGCTCCACCTTTCCTTCTCCTTTTCCTTCCCCGCACATACAGTCTTCAGAAGACGGCGCCTGACAGGAACCGAGAGCTCGGCGCTTCAACAGACAGGCTGACTTCAGTGAGCGGCAGAGAAAATGAAGCTCAAGCTATAAAAGGATGTTTTTAGCATCTGAATCAATGGCGCTTTTGTGACAGATTGACAGAAACTACAGGAAACATCTCAGACGACAGATTTCGGTCTCGTTTGTCTGACATCAGACAGACGAGACCAAAAATAGCCGCATGTCAAAGGCTCCCCCCCAAAAAAACCTATTTTCTCATCAGCTACTTACTGTGAATGATGGGCTCTTTTGTGAACACACTATTTTCTGGCAAAGTTAGAACACTTTCATTTATTTTACATGAGTGATTTACATAATGTGAATCAGAGTCGGAGGACAGGTGTGGGTGTTGTTTTTTTTTGCTCATGTGCCAGTGAAGTTGAAAAGCAGAGTTTCTTTTAATGCAAAAGTCTCGATAAATAACGACGTTTTTGTCCCAAATTTAAATCTGTTTAAATCATGGCCGTTGAAACCACGTTTTTTAACAAAAGCCTACA